GCCACGTTGTGCTCGGGCGGGTGCTGCGTCGGGAGCCGCCCGGGAGCGGCGCTGAGGTGACTCCCGGGAAGGCCGGTGGGCTCTGCCGCCTCCTTGTGCGGGCGGGGGCTGGTGGGCGAGACTGGGGGGAGCCTCTGCTCTCAGCACCAATCCCGGTGGTCCAAGAGGCCAGATGAGAACAGGTGAGGGTTCAGCTGGTTTTTCTTTCCCTGTTTCCGTGAGCCGCGAGGTCAGATCGAGAACTCCCTTCTGTGGTGCGCGCTGCGTCCGTGGGAAGCATAAAACAAGTGTTTTCAGGACCTTGACAGCAGGGAGGATAAACTGCTAAAAAGACTTTACACTTGCAATGTTTGGTCACAGCCAAAGATGAGAGCAAGTGGCCGTGGATTGGAAGTAGGACCCCTATATGTAATAGGTACGCTGTCAGCAGGTACTGGTCCAGGTCGCTAAGATTTCCTGGCAGTTTTCATAGCAAGATGCTGTTTTCAGGTGCACAGACAGCCTGGGCAGATTTTGCCAGTCAAAAACCAGCGAGGCTGAATCTTTTCTTTCGTCTGTCTGCAGTTCTATTTATTTTTAAACGCTACCTGAAACGTTTGTTGTTGCTTTTCGAGAACTGAGCGTAACAACAGAAACATTGTTTTTATTATTGCAAAGTAATAGGATTTTTTTCAAATTCTGTGCATTGTAAAAGAACACTTACAATTTGGCGCGGGATATCTCTTTTTGGCCATTTACTTGCTATACTTTTCGATAAAATTTTGGTTAAGTTGTAAGTTTCTTAGTAAACAGTTTATCTCACGTGCTGCGTAGAGACTTGTAGATAGAATAAAAATTTTGAACGTTTCGCGTGTATTGAGGATGCTCCGTCCTATCTTGCGTCTGTTGTGGCGTAGTGCATGCAGTAGTCCTAGAAAATCTCTGAGCAACCCAAGATTGTAGAACAGGATATTCTTAACAGTTATTTTTGTCTTCTAATAGCGATTGCTCCTCTCTGAGGCATCTGAATTCTGAGCAGATCAACAGGCTTCCTAGCGCAGTTCCTCTTCCTTTTTTTTTTTTTGTTTTTCTCTAGCAAAGTCTTTTTGGTGCTGTGAGTGTTGATGAGTATTGATTTAAGAAACAGAACTAAAATGGTAAGATGAGCTTGCCTGTAGAAAAAGGCATAAGCAAATTTATCGTTTTCTAGGTAAAGACTGAATGAGTACTGTAAGGTAGACCATAGGTCTTCACATATATTAATATAGAACAAAATATTGA